AGGCCTGGGCCTGGCCCGCCCCAGGCCTGTCCGCTCTGCCGGCCGGTCGGGAGGTGCGTTTGGGCGGTGCTTCCCGGAGTCCTGGTATGGCGGAGGCCTGGGGCTGCCTGAGCGGCTCTGGCCGGCAGTTCCTGCGTGACCAGCGGCTCTAGCCGGCAGTTCCTCGTGCCGGAGGATAAGGCTACAGGGGCGGGCTGGAGGAGGGGGTGAGGGAGTGAGTGTGGAAGAGGTGTCAGAAAGAATCCGGCCCTTTCCCACCCCGTTTATCCTAGCCCTTGAGTCTCTTGAGCAGTTTCAGACGGGATTAGGGCAGGCCCTTCAGAGCAGCTTTGGTGTACGATTGCCCCAAGTGGGCACCGGCTAATAAAGAAATGGATCTCCTTGGCAGTCTTAAGTGGCTACTTAAAGGTGGGGGAAGGGAACTGTTTCTCGGAAGAGGTGATGATGGGCTTTATTTTCTGATGGTGAGGCTTGTACCTTTGTGTGTGTGTGTGTGTGTGTCTTTTTTGTTTGGGACCTAACGGCTACTACTTCCAGTGGTAGCATCTAACTTGATGGAAGCTGTAGGGACAGTTACTGCAGATTGCCTGTCTACTCTTGCAGCCTCAGCAACAATAAAACTCAGTGTTGTCTAATTGGACAAAACTCTATTGTGAATTAGAAAGGCTTTCAGCTCCTAAACTCCTTTCTCAGAAGATTTCTATTTCGTGCATAGAAAGTTAGGCTTGCTTCAAGCCAGTAACTACATCTCACTTAACACTATACATCAGGTTTTGTATTTTTGAGTTTTAGGAATTTCGATCAGTTTGGGGAAAATGTTGTCACGAATGCGACATGATTGAAAAATAAAAAACCGACCTTGTGTGAAAATCTGAAGTTCTAGCTACTTTGGAGGCTGAGGCAGGTGGGTGGCAAGTTTAAGTCCTGCTTGGCCTACAGAGTGAGCTCAAGGCTGCCCCTGGCAACTTGGTGAGACCCTGTCTCTGAAAGAGAAGAGCTGGGGATACGGCTCAGTGGTAGATAGAGCACAGGACTAGCATGTTCGAGGCTCTACATTCAGTCTTCAGTATTGCAGAAATAGAAAAATGAAATCTTGATCCAGTTCAACTTTTAGAAAACAGTAGTTACATGGGAGGAAACTACATTGGAAGTAGTTACTCTTGTTTTTAAGCACATCACTCTCCCCCCGCCCCCCCAACCACCCAGGGTTTCTCTTTGTAGTTTTGGTGCTTGTCCTGGACCTCGCTCTGTAGACCAAGCTGGCCTCAAACTCACAGAGATCCATCTGCCTGGCTCTGCCTCCCGACTCCTGGGATTAAAGTCGTGGACCACCACCGCCCAGCTAGCACATTACTTTTTTCCCCTAAAACTAGTATGGGTTGGCTTAATATTCATGGACAGATTTATCAGTGTCACTGCCTACTTGCTGACTTTCCATTATTAATATGTTTATGGTCTCATCCAGTAGGCACCGTTTTGCAGATTAAACCATCAAGGCATTAAAGAATGGGTGGGTTTTGAATAATGGAAAAATCTCATCTAGTGCTGTTATTAGTGGAAATTTCAAGTTTCAATATAGATAATGTAATCTCAGAAATAAGTGGAAGGATTGTAGAAGTCAGATAAATTTCACTGCTCTAATTTAGTTCTTTGAAAATTGAGATTTATTTCTTTTCTCTTTTTAAGAAACAAATTATATAAGGTATTTGTGGTTAAAACTTGAATTCTTTTTATTTACATGGAGTTATATCAAATCTGATGTTTTCAACTTACTAGCTAACTCACTGGCATTTTAATTATGTTTTGAAATAACTCAAGGGTATTTATCAGAAATAACTTCTGACTTTAAATGTGTATTTTACTATAATTAAATCTCATCCAATTTTGTTAGTTCTTAGATTTGTCTTAGCTAGGTCAGAAACATGATGTCATTTCTGGAACAGAAAAGTAACTGATGTGTATGACATCATTCTTTCTTAGTTTAGATAAGAGAATGAATGCTAATGAACTACCAAGACCTATGAAAAGTAGGGATTCTTTTTTTGGGGGGGGGTGTCCCCTACTTTTTCCATATTTCCTTGCTTCATTCCAGCTTTTGTAAGTAAGGCTGTTCTTAAATAGAATTCATGCACACCTGAGCATGAAAGTTCATATTTAGAAATACCAGTCAAGTCAAAGGTTAGGATATATCCCAGACCATCTTTCCTTGAATTGGTATACTTAAACATCTAAACTAGGCTTGATTATGTTTTAGATCAGAGTTAAACTCAAAGCATTGTATGATTAATGTGTTCACATTGTAAGAACCTCATGAGTAAAGAGAAAGACAAAATAAACCACCAGAGAAAGGCACTAAAATGTGAGCTGTAGCTACTTTTCTGGATACTGCATAATTATAATACATATATACGTACGTACATACATACATACATACATACATACATACATACATACATACGTTTGTGTGTGTATGCGCATGCACGTGCATGTGTACACATATATATCAGAATGATTTTTGTGTGATCTGTTTTCAGTGGGGAGAAAAAACGGGTTTCAAAACCAGAAAGAGTCTCTGAAGAACTTTCTGTAATAACTATTTTTCAAGAACTTAGTGACTACACATTAATTTTTGTATTTAACACATTGCTGGCTTCTTACGGTTTTTGACTTATAAGCACACATAGCCTCAGAGGTCAGTCGTAGAATATTTTCTTATTTCTTGGTGTAAGTCCATTTGCAGAATTAAAGGCTTTTGGGTGGTGTTAACAGTGTTTTTCCATGTTATACTAGTTGCCTAATTGTCATCAAATGTCATTTAAAAAATTTGCTTTGGGGAGTGAGGTGTAGTGGTGTACACCTTTGATCCCAGCATTTCAGGAGGCAGAGTCAGGTTGATGTCTGTGTGTTTGAGGTCAGTCTGATGTACATAGTGAGTTCCAGGACATCCAGAAGTTCATAGTAAGATTCTGTCTCGGGAAAACAAAACAAACAGTTTCTTGTGTAGATAGCTCTGGCTTTCCTTAGACTTAGAATTCTCCTGCCGTCTAACTCAGGGCCTGGCACATGCTAGGCAAGTATTCTGTTCCTGATCTATGCCCCAGCCCTTTAAAGTGCACACACGCACCTACACACAGCGTTTTTGAGACAGGAGTCTCATAGTGTAGCTCAGGCCGTCCTGGAACTCATGGTTTTCTCTCTAGTAGTTGGGTCTATAGCCTTATACTACCATGCCCTATCCATCATTCTATTTATGACATAATGAGCATATATTTATTGTCTTTTCTCTCCTTTCATTTTGTCGTGTTTTGTTTAGAGATGGAATTTCCCTGTGTTGCCCAGGCTCGTCTGCTCCTGGACTCAAGTGATAGTCTTGCTGCAGCTTCCTAGGTGCCAGGACTACAGATGTGTCATACATACCAAGTGCTACCATAGCAGGGTGTACTCTGTAGTTCTTTTTTAGTTAGCCATATTTTTTCATGTGTGTGTGTGTGTGTGTGTGTGTGTGTGTGTGTGTGTGTGTGTGTTAAGACCTTTTATTTTAAAGTACACGTATGTTTGTGGATACATGGATGCCTGCAGAGGCCAGAAGAGGGCACTGGATCCCCTGGAGCTGTAGTGACAGGTGATTGTGAGCTGCCCTGAGTAAATAGATGATGGGAACTGATTTTTTTTTTCTTCCCTTTGAGACAGGGTTTCTCCGTGTAACAGCTCTAGCTGTCCTGGAACTCACTCTGTAGACCAGACAGGCCTTGAACTCAGAGATCCACCTGCTTCTGCCTCCTGAGTGGTGGGATTAAGCGCCACTGTGCCCGATAGAGCTGAACTCTTGCAGTGCAAGAGCAGCAAGTGCTCTTAACTGCTAAACTCTTCCAAGCCACTTTTTTTTTTAAAGGCTCTGTGTCAACAGGTGTTTAACTTTGTTAAACCTATACACCTTGATACTATGTAACTACATGAATAACTTTATAAGTAGATTAATCCTATTAGGTGATCTGATGAATAGACTAAGTAGAATAAATGCTATGTTTAGACTGGCATTTGATGATTACTACTTTTTGGATAAGAAAATGATCACACTTGTAATTTAACATGGCTGGATCCTTTGGAACCCATGTGATAGTTTTTATTATTCAAAGCCTAAGTGTTGATTTTTTTTCTTTTTCTGTTCTTTCTTTCTTCTTTTTTTTTTTTTAACTTTTTTTCTTCATTTTTCCTTTTTTTTTTTGGTTTTTCGAGACAGGGTTTCTCTGTGTAGCTTTGCGCCTTTCCTGGAACTCACTTGGTAGCCCAGGCTGGCCTCGAACTCACAGAAATCCTCCTGGCTCTGCCTCCGCCTCCCGAGTGCTTCGATTAA